CTGATAGATCTTGACCTTTTAAACATTTTACCGCCATGTCTGATTTGCTCTAAATGCTTTAGTTTCTGAGATATAAGCCAAAAACTGCATTTGACCCCTATGTTCTATTTTAAGCCATGGCGGCCATGTTTGTTGATGAATCAAAAATTCGGATACAGTTCATAAACTAGATTCCTAAAGGAACATTCATTTCAAGTTAAGAAGTATTAGGCACAATAGTTTCAGAGGAGAAGATTATTAAATGTTAGCAAACTTGATGAACAAATTGTGTAAAATTGTCTTTAAAGGGCAATAACTCCTTAAGCGGTCAATTGACAATTTTGGTCATATTTACTTTTTTGTAGATCTTACTTTGCTGAACATTATTGCTTTACAGTTTATATCTATCTATAATAATATTCAAGATAATGAAGAAGAAAACTGCAAAATTTCCTTAAAACTATCAATTTAGTGGCAGCAACCCAACAATGGGTTGTTCGATTCGTCTGAAAATTTCAGGGCTGATAGATCTTGACCAATTGAACAATTTTACCCCATTTCAGATTTGCTCTAAAAGCTTTAGTTTTTGAGATATAAGCCAAAAACTGCATTTGACCCCTATGTTCTATTTTTAGCCATGGCGGCCATGTTTGTCAATGGATCAAAACTTCGGATACAATTTTTAAACTAGATACCCTAAGGAACATTTTGTTAAAGTTTGAAGGTATTTGGCCCAGTAGTTTCAGAGGAGAAGTTTTTTGAAATAGTTTACGACGACAGACGACGACGACAGACGACGGACGACGACGGACGCCAAGTGATGGCATAAGCTCACATGGGCCCTTCGGGCCCCGGTGAGCTAAAAAAGGGAGGGCTAAAAAAAATTTCCTGTCCAAAAGTACCTATTGATATCATAACACTGTATAATAGAAATCTCAGCAGTAAACAATGTAATCACTGATATATTATGGAACACCACAGCTGTCTTATGTGGAACTCTGATATTACGTTATGTTGTTTTATTATTACTTGATGATATTTTGTCTTTACATAATATGGTTTTGACATTACGTAATGATGTTTTGATATAACTCAATATGGAATAGTCATTACTTAATGATATTTCGATATTACACGATATGGTTTCGTATTGACTTGATATAGTTTTGTCATTACTTAATATGGTTTTGTCATTACTCGACATGGTTTCACTATTATTTAATGTGGTTGTGTCATTAGGCAATGTGGTTTTAACATTATTTGATGTGTATGTGACTTAACGTAATATAGTTGTTTCATGACATGATGTGGTTTTGTTATTTCGTAATGATGATTTGCCAATTCTTTATATGGCTTTAACATAACATTACATTATTTGATGAGGTAAAACCACGTGACCAATTCGAAAAAAAAACTAGTTCTATTTTTAAATAGATTTCCATGTCTTATGTGCCTTGGATGAGTGTGCCCATCCATCGAGTTAGAGTTCAAATTAAAGTTCGGGTAACTGTTCCGAGTTAAACTTTGAGTTAGTCTTCGATTTCGAGTTAGAATTCAAACCATTATTATATCATTATATAAAGTTCTAGTTAGCATTGAGTTTCGAGTTGAACTTCGAGTTTGAGTCACATTTAAAGGTAGAGTTCGAGTTACAATTCGACTTCAACTTTGAATTTGAGTCACCTTTTGAGGAAGGGTTCGAGTTAGACTCGAATTTGAGTCTCATTTAGATTAAGATTTCGAGTTGAAATTCGAGTTATCCAATATGAGTTCGTATTTAAATTTTCTATCGAGGATCAAGGGCTTTTCCTCGGGCTTCCGAAAAGAGGGCTCAGGGGTATGCGTACAAAAGATAAACAATGTTACAGTATACAAAACACAGCATAGAAATTGAAATAAAGTTAGATGTGGTGTGATTGCCAATGAGACAACTATCCACCAGAGTTTAAATGCAGTGGATGTAAGCAATCATAGGCAACCGTACAGCCTTCAACACACCGTATAGTCGGCTACAAAAGACAACCACGTGAAAATGTGAAACAATTGAAACGAGAAAACTAACGGTCTAATTTATAACTAAACAATCTACGAAAAACAAATATGACACACATGAAAAAACGACAACCATTGAACTACAGGCTCCTGACTTGGGGCAGGCACATAAAGAAAGTGCACGTGGCGGAGTTTAACATGTATGTGAGCGCTAAACCCTAACCTAACCTCGGACTGTAGTGTAACAGCACAACATAAGAAAAAAATGTAAAAAACAGTTTCAATTGGCTTAACTCAATAGATCGGTTTGACTGGGTAATATAAATCCATCGGGGGTGATCTCGGGTGCTCCGGAACGGTAAGCAGATTCTGCTCAACGTGTTATTCGTGAAAGTACAAACCCAGTGATTTGGTTTTATTTGTTAGTTCACATTCGATGAAAAGATGACGGGATTGTGCTCAACGTGTTATTCGTGAAAGTACAAACCCAGTGATTTGGTTTTATTTGTTAGTTCACATTCGATGAAAAGATGACGGGATTGTGGTTACGACAACTGGAACATACCCGTCGTCACCTGTGAAACAGATATTCCAAAAAGTTTGTTTTTTCAATTAGTGCGAGATATATCGGAGAATGCAATTTATAAAAAATAAAAGATTGATATTCGTATATGTTCAAATGATCATACACGCTAAAAAAAAATCGGAGAATTCTTATGTTATAGAATTGTTGCTTTGACGCTTAGTCCGATCCCCCCATTTCCTTGTAACTTGAGTGTGAGTTGATTTAAAGTGTCTCATTTGTTGACAATAAAGTACAAGTCTTTTGGTTTGTGTCGAGCCTGCGACATAAATGTAGCGGCAGTGAGACACAACAAACCTAAATTCCGTCGTCGGTAGTGGCGTCGTCGTCTTCATCATTTAGATCGTTAGGTTTCTCGTTTGAATTGTTTTTACATTTTTCATTTCGGGACCTTTTATAGCTTACTATGTGGTATGGCTTTTGCTCATTGTTGAAGACCATACAGTCACATATAGTTGTTAACTTCTACGTCATTTGGTATGTGGTTGAGAGTTGTCTCATTGGCAATCATACCACATTTTCTTATTCTTATATAAGTTTTTTTTTGCATCAAATATTACCGAGTTAAACTGTTTTGACATGATAAATTTGTAAACCTCCATGACTTGTTATAAAACTTGTATAGGTATTATTCTTCAAGATCAAGATAAAGCATCTACAGAAAGACATTTCGCTTTTACACTGACAGCAGCAATTTCAGGCGAGTCACAGGGTTCCGTGGAATCTTTTACGAATTTATGATAATACTGCTTCCATTTGAGAACTAAGGAAAAAACGACAGGACCAATTAAGTGGTTAGGAGATATCCCCTTATGTCCGAAATACTGCTAATCTTTTAGTACTTTTGCCGTTCCCAAAAAATCGTCAAATTTTGAAACATCATTACGTAATGTTAAAGCCATATAAAGAATTGGCAAAACATCATTACGAAATAACAAAACCACATCATGTAATGAAACAACTACATTACGTTAAGTCACATACACATCAAGTAATGTTAAAACCACATTGCCTAATGACACAACCACATTAAATAATGACAAAACCATATTAAGTAATGACAAAACTATATCAAGTCAATACGAAACCATATTGTGTAATATCGAAATATCATTAAGTAATGACTATTCCATATTGAGTTTTATCATATACTTAGAGTAAATAACTTATAATTGTTACAGTATGATAATATCATTAAATGTACGCGAATTTCCATATTTTCTAAAATGGTGTTTAGCGGGCTGATATGAAAAATTTATCACATGCTTCCAACTATTATCACATGCCTTTCCGTAACGTTATCGCATGGCTTTCCGGTGTTACTCGGCAAAATCCGGAAAATACACCTCCGAATGGTAAGTTTTCAGTGAAAAATATTACAAAGTTGGGTACAAAACAACTATTAAAAACAGGAAAATATATTATGTAAAACAGACAAACACAAATGATACAATAAATGCATTTTTCAAAGTTTACAGCATAATTTAGAAAGTAACTTTACAAATGTTGACTTTTCCAAACAGTGTGGATTATGTTTTGTTGAATTTTTGTTATCGTCAATATAAAAATATATTTTACTGTTGTTTTTCTATTCTGTTGAGGCATATGATAAAAATATTTGATATCGGTCCGGATGTAAATTACATTTGGTGTCCGACGTCCGTAAACTTTTCACTTTTTGAACTTCTACTTGAAAACCACTTAAAAGGATCATTATATTAAACTGTTATTTTTCTCCATTGTTGAAGCATATTATGATAAAAAGATCATAACATGTCATTTTTCGTATCAGATGTATTATCAGCCCTCGGTCAATATCAGACCTCGAGCCTTCGGCTCTTGGGCTGATATTCAACTTTGGGCTGACAATACATCTGATATGAAAAATGCCATGTTATTATCTGATAATATCAAAACATCATTACGTAATGTCAAAACCATATTATGTAAAGACAAAATATCACCAAATAATAATAAAACAACATATATATATATAACGTAATATCTGAGTTCCACATAAGACACCTGTGGCGTTCCATAATATGTATCATAATCGATTACATTAAATGAGTACAGTAATTGTAATGTAATCGATTACATTATATTAGCAAAGTAATTGTAATTTAATCCTTTGCTTTATTTAAGTAATCGACCCCATTTCTGGTACCAGTTTTTGCTGGAACTGAATCTATGACTACAGATTTGAATGGCCTGGGATCCTGTCTCACTGCTCGACAGTTGTGACACGAAGAGTAAACTGGAGCCCTGTTGTGTTCACTTATCGCTACTCTAACCTTCGGTGCGGAGAATAATGGAAATGAAAATGGAATGGCGGACGAGTTTTCACGATGAGGACGTTTGGCCAGGCTTTGAATGACGGACCTCCACGAAGACACCCTCGCACTACAAGGTAGATTGTACCGCAATCTTAACGGAAGTGAAAAGCCGAAAAGGGAGGTTATTCTGCATGTAAACAACAACACGTTGACAGACAAAATGATCATTTAAATCTATCACTGCTAGCCGTCTTTTCATAGAGAAACTAACTAACCTGTAATGGCAGCGCCTTTGATAACACAGGTTTTATATTTCTTAACATCTTTATACCGTCGTAAAGTATTTTTTTCCCCATATGTTTGAAAGTTATAATTTTCACAGATTACGTAAACAGGTCAGGATTCAGGAATAACCATTAATTGATGGATTATACCTCAATTGAGGTATAAGCCAACATTTGACATATAATGAGATAGACCAATTGAGATATAATGCAGTTTTTATCATAAATTTTTTTAAAGAGATATTCGAGCATCTTTTTGCATATACCATCGTATAAGGTTCATGTGGACCCTTCGTCTAAAATGGCTGCATTTTCACCTCAAAATTTACTCTGAGTACAGACAAACCTGTGCATCTGGAAAAGTTTTAAGGCATAGCATGCCCTAGATAAATAAAATTCAAATATATTTTATGTTTTAGAAAATTAAAAACTTAACCGGATTTTGCAGTGCACTTTTTTTCATTCCTCCAGAAGGTGCCAAAATAAACTAAGTTGGGAAAGAGGTTTGAGAACTTCCCCACAGGTAATAATTGAAGTGAACTGTTTTGATTGACATGGACAATAGATGGACAATAGATACCTGACAATAATTGGTGATTTAAACTGTGTACCTGAGTGGACCATATCAAGTGAAACTCAACTGTTTAATTTTATCATCTGCAGGGACGAAAAAAAGTGCACTGCTAAATCCAGTTAAGTTTTAAATTTTCTAAAACATACAATGCATTAGAAGTTTATTTATCTAGGGCATGCTATGCCTTAAAACTTTTCCAGATGCGCAGGTTTATCTGTACTCAGAGTAAATTTTGAGGTGAAAATGCAGTCATTTTAGCCAAAGGGTCCACATGAACCTTAAGCTTTGATGAGTACTCATTAGTGACATGTAATTGCTTCTGACTTCCTGTGCTGCGTTTTAAAAAATGTGGATTATACCTCAATTACCAATTGATGGATATTCACAATTGGCTTCCTTAAATCTGCAACAGTTCTAACTTTAAAATTTGTTAGTCAAAATGGACAGGAAGCAGGGACGGATCCAGCCATTTTTAAAAGGGGGGGGTTCCAACTATATGTCCCCATTCAAATGCATTGATCATAAAAAAAAGGGTGTTCCATCACTAAGTGGTCACCAAAACTTGTTATGGTAAATGCGAAAAGATGCTCCAATATATCTTTAATTTTTTGGGGGGATAAAAACTGCATTATACCTCAATTGATGTATCCCATTATATGTCAAATGGTGGATTATACCTGAATTGAGGTATAATCCACCAATTAATGGTTATTCCTGACCTGGTAAATAAAATTTCGAATAATGTAACGGGAATTTACGTACATACATATACCATGTTATGATTAGGAGACAGAACTTTTTTCTGAGTTGGCTCCCAATCAAATATAAAGAATCTTAGTCTAACTTCGGAACAAATATTCTGATCCTGGAAGTACAGGAAGGATGTTACATATTCCTAGTTCTGAAGTTTTGCTTGAGGTTGTCACCTGAAGCCTTTCCCTGGCATAATGGTGTGGCCGCAAGGCAGCGGAGGTTTCGAGTCAGAGTTTTCCTTCTCGTAGATCATCTGATGGGTTACCCTCCAGGGTTGATGAGCCCCATCTGCCTGAGGCTATCTGGTTTTGAGGCGCCATTGGCTCGCCTTAATTTGCCCCTTCTCCAGTCAGTTGAAACAGTTCCACCATGTCTACAGATGATAAACCACTTGAGAAGGTTGTAGTTGGACTTTGATTGTCCGAGGCTGTTTGAGATGCATGCCGAAAGGAGCATTTCATGGAATTGGGAGCCTATTTCCAAACTCCACCCCTTGGCTTAACAACTTTTAAAACCAGTTCATCATACCGCATCTTCTAATCTCCTGTTTTGAATATATACAGATGGTAAAGTACTGGTATTATTTTCGTGCAAATGTTCACAATTTTTTTTTTAAGCTCATGTCTACTCTGTTTTGTGCTTTCGTGCAAAGTGGTCGAAAAGAAAACTGTAGGCTATCTTTTGTTGATCTTGAAATGACCATTTTATTTCCTGTTGTTCCATGTTCATACCCTCCCATTAGGACCTTCATTTACTTTAAAAAAGATATAGCTTTGGAAAAGGATATCTAATTGTTGCTAACAGATAAAAAAATAATTGATACATGTATGTATTTGAATTTTTTTTTTTCAAGTTTGATAGAATATAAGTGTTGGGAATCGGCTTGAAAATTATGTTTGATTATTTAAATGATAGCTTGGCTTGATTGGATTTTCAATTATTATTGGTTTTTAATTTCAATGTATATTATGTAGGAATTGAGCAACACATTTTCCCAATCTAGATTTTTAAATGTGTAATACTTGTGCATGTATATAGTACTGAAGTGGAATTACCACTGCATTTAGATGCTTAAATGCAGAGTACTGTACTCTAAAAAAGTGTGTTTATGGATATTTTATGTTTGTATAAAGGCATTGTTACATTTTCAGGGATGTATGAAAAGGTTTCTGTAAAAAAGAACATTTCATAGATATTTTTTACATTTGTAAAGATTATCATTTATTGAAATTATAATCAAATAATAAAAAAAAATCAATGATCAATTGGCTATCGATTATAATCTATAATCTGAACATCAGTCGCAACACTACATGTTTAAATTAAAATAACAATTTATAAATATTGTGTATCCAAACTTTTCTGGGTTTACCTTCAGGAATGAAAATGATAAATAAAAACATTTGAAAACAGTAGCAGTAAAACATTCTTAAAGAAAATATCAGGAGTTATAACAAGCTTCCTGTTTACATTTTTGGTAGATTCTAAATCTGATTTACATTTATAGACATATGATGTCACTACACAATGACAACACAGCTACAGTCAAAAATCAGAATATGTAAAAAAAGGGATTACCCAAGAGTAAATAGGAAATATAAACTTTTATCAAACCTGTAATATCAGTAAACCAATAAATGTTTTTTATCATCTAGGCAAAAGAAAGTTATCTTTTTAGATTCTTTTTAAAAATTCCCTGTCTGTTTTTTTCAGAATTAACTGGTTTTTGACATACATGTTGTATACATAAGTGGCTTTTTCTAGCAAATTTAATGCCTATCTATCACTATATCTTAAGAATTACCATCACATTTTCTGACTTGTGTCAGGCTGAAGAAAAAAGCTATTCTCATAGTTGTTCTGTGTTTATATTTGTTTATTTTTAGTTTTTTCCACCATTAAAAAATGATTTGATTTTACGGGCAGCAAAAGGAGAGAAAACAGAACGTGTTCCAGTATGGTTAATGAGACAAGCTGGCCGTTATCTACCAGGTATTTAACTGCTTCATATCACATTTACATTCATTTTTACTATTGGTATATAGTATTAAAATGAAGTTTAAACAAAATTACCTAACAATTTGTGATATATTCAATGTCTTATCAGTTGTATATATTATCATCTCTGCACTTTAGATTAAGTTGCTGGATAGACATATTTGTTATTGCTTCCTCTGTCTGTCTATCCACCTTTAAGAAAAGCATTTACTTGTATTTTAGCTCACCTGTTCCGAATGGCCCATGTGGTGCGCATTACATTTGTGCGCATTTGGAGATTTAAATTTTTTAAGTTTGCGCACAGCTTTTGATTACATTTGTGCGCATTCATTTTACAGGTAACGTAAAAATAAAGATAATTCATAATAAGTATGACTATAGTAATTACGAATTTTGAACATACTTGTAAATTTAAATAATATAGTTAATAGTATTTCGTTCCTAATTTTACCGAATAGTGATTGTTTTAGTATTATTTAAGTCAGTTTGTAAAGTTGCATCAAGGCACAAGCATGGAGTTTCTTTTGTCAGAAACAAGTCGGATGAAAAAATCATTTGTGTACAGTTTTTTCTTTCCCTAGTGTTAATTTTCCTTTTTCGGACACTGATGTTCCTCTGGCACCATCTTACGGTGTTTATATATCTCAACTCGTTGTCTGTAGTGGAGTTTTTGTTTTCAGTGAGTGTAATCTATGTATTACTGGTAAATTATTAAGTGAGGGATTTCGTTACCACAAATTACTTAAAACCTTTACTCTATTCTTCCATAGATACAAAGGTTTTGTTGTATCTATAGAAAACTTATTTCAAATAGAATAGCACATCCTAAATTTTACGGTGATGTTGTTAACCGACCCCGGAAATTTAGATACGATCCTGGTTACCTTATAAATCCTTTAAATAAACTTAATCAGAAAGGTTACCTATTCACCACTGTAATTAAATCTTTCAACATTGTTTTTATTGGTATAAATATTGATTTTGTTGTCAGTAAATTAAAACCATACTAATACTACACATATGTACTTTCATGGTACATGTACTACAATCTGTAGATACCTATATTTTGGCATTGCAAAAAGTCATGTTTTTCTCTGACTGTTAATGATGTCTTTACACTAAATCCATTGGATGTTGGATGTGTACTGATTGATATTTTAGTCTTAGATACATGAATTTTTTTATTAGTTGTTATTGGCTTTGAACTAGCTGTCAGTTACTGCGAGTATTCTCAGATCTGTACTTAGTGTCTTTTTTGTTGTTAGGGATGAGGGATGGATATATACCCTGCCACGTCCATTCTGTGTTTTTGTTTGATGTTTTTCTTTGTATCAATCTGATGAGTGAAGCCTTTTTCAGCTGATTTTTATAGTTTGTTCTTATGTTGTGCTGTTACACCACTGTCCCAGGTTAGGGGGAGGGTTGAGTGCTCACAATCATGTTTAACCCCGCCACATTCTTTATGTGCCTGTCCCAAGTCAGGAGCATGTAGTTTAGTGGTTGTCGTTGGTTGAAGTCTGTCATATTTTTTTTTTTTCATAAATTGTTTTGTTATAAATTAGGCCGTTAGTTTTCTCAATTGAATTGTTTCATATTTTTCATGTCGGGGCCTTTTATAGCTGACTATACAGTATGGGTTTTTATATGAAAGCAAAAAAATTTTGGGGTCGTATATTGCTATCACGTCGTCGTCTGAAGACATTTGGTTTCCAGACAATATCTTAAGTTTAAGTGTATGGATCTCTATGAAATTTTTCCAAAAGGTTCAATACCACTAAAGAAAGGTTGGGATTGTTTTTGGGGGTGATGGTCCGAACCGTTTAGGAATAAGGGGCCAAAAACGGGCCCAAAACAAGCATTTTCTAGTTTCAGGACAATAACTTGTGTATAAGTATATTGATTGCTCTTAAATTGTACCACACGTTTCAATACCACAAGTCGAAGGTTGGGATCCATTTTGGGGGTAATTGTCCAAACCGTTCAGGAATTAGGGGCCAAAAAGGGTCTAAAACAAGCATTTTTCTTGTTTTCAGTCAATCACTTGTGTTTAAGTGTATTGATGTCTCTTTTTGGGGGGGGGGGGACAATTTTTTATCCTCAAGATTTAAGAAATTAACAAGAAAATTTCTTCAAATATTTATTTTTGGAAAAGGGGGGGGAAAATTTATTGGGGGGGGTGTCAATTTTTTTTCTTCAAGATTTAAGAAATTGTCAATTATCCAAAGAAAAATTGGGGGTCCCAATTGCTAATTCTTTGTATATAGCCTGAAAACAGATTTACTTAGTATTACGCAACAGCACAGTGTATTGCACAAAAGCAAGAAATCTTCAATTGAATATAAATTCAAATCATATAACCAATTTTAAGTTCTTTGACTACATTTATTCTGTGTCAGAAACCTATAATGTGTCAAATATTTAATTACAATCCAAATTCAGACCTGTATCAAGCTTGAATATTGTGTCCAATAGTATTTTTGTGTTTTGTGTTTTCTTAAAGCAGTGGGCTTCAAATATTCTGAACGTTACGACATGTAAAATCAGTACTTTTAATCTTTAGTTTTGCTATGTTTTTACATTTATATCTGTATATATTTCCAATACTTAGTGCTTGTGCATTATAAATCAGACTTATCCTGCATGTAAATAATAGTTAAATATATGAATAAGTATAATTTACCTGAGTTTACATGTAAAAGAATGCATGCAAATGTAATCAAAAGCTGCGTGCAAACATAATGATTTTTGCGCAAATGTAATGCACCGCCCATGAGAGTCTTTCTCATCCCTTTGTCCCTGGCGATCATCCACCATTCATCATGAAGTTTTTTATTAATCATCTCTGATTCCAATGGACATTTTTAACCATACTATGACGCTATCACACATAAGTTGTTTGGTGTCAAATTGTAATCCAATTTTTATTCCTGTCTATCAAAAATTGCATCTTGGGATGTGTTAAAACACAAACAATATTTCAATTGTCCGTGCCATCTGGCACTAAAACTGTACCTTTGGAAATATAATATAATATAAGTAAGACATTATACCAGTACATTTTCAGTAATTCAAAATTACATGACTGAGTACTACACAGTGTTTGCAAGTAAAACATGAAAACTTAATTTTTATTAGATTGTTGTAAATGATTTGAATATCAATATCCGACAACTGTTACGATCTATAGTTTTCATAAGGTGTACAACATTTTGACTTTCACCAACCTAAAGGTAATTGTCATTATAGTCCTTTATGGGTGTGAAAAACAATAGACCTCCTGGAGTTTTATTATAACTCAAAACACTGAATACAAACTTCATAAATATTAAGAAATGTCTGAAGAACATTCAACGTCTCAACAATCTTGAACTTTTTTTTATTGTAGCTGGACTGATGACCGATTGTATATTTTCTTTCTTTCTTTTTCAGAATACAATCAATTTAAGAACGATAATTCTGTTTCATTTTTTGAGATGGTTAGAACACCTAGTATGGCCTGTGAAATTACTTTACAGGTAAGTTAGGAATAAAATGACATTAAGATATGATCACAAAAATATTGCAGTCATAATCAGAAATATGATATAGTAAAGGGGTGTCATCATAGTCTTTCCGTAGATATATTTCATTGGATTCATCTTGGCAAGTATCAATAAGAAGAGATGTTGGTTATATGACAGTAATATCTGTAGTATAAATACATTCAGTTAAGGACCCAACTTGATTTTTTCTCCATTTTTGATAGGAGACAAAAGTTTTGGGTAATGTCTACATGACTGAAAAACTGTGGTTATTTCTTGAGGGATAATGCATTATCCATCTTGTACAGCACAATTGATGGAATTATCGCACTGGAATAGGGATGAATTTGATGGAAATTTCACTTTGGAATAGGGATTACAAGATGTCACTTGTTAAGAGTAACAACCAAAACTAATATATCTTACGTTGTTGAGGTTTGAGAATACAGGATTAGCCTTTTCTTTATTTAATACACTTCCTAAATTCAATATCTGTTTATGTTAGCATTTGTAAATAGTATATGACTTACACCTTTACCCATCTACTGAACATGGACAGTTTTGAGAAAAAAAATATCCAAGTCAAAATTGAATTTTTGTAAACCAAGTGATGTTTTTTTGTCTGCTATTAATTAAAGGATCTCTGCAGATCTGAAAAGGCGGGCCTTCATTTCTGCATTCTTTTTTTTGTTTGTAATTTTTCTCTTTCTTCATTTACCCATTATTTTCTATTCTATCCGGACTCTCATGTACAATGTAGCTGCCATTGTATCAGCGAAATATTACATCAATCTACAGAGGATATTGAAGTTGTCTTTGGTTTTCCTTGTGATACTTTAAACATTTTTTCCTGGTGAAGTTCATCCAATAGAATGTAATGAGTTGATTATTTACTTTTAATGAATTCCGAATGTCACATTGACTAAGGAATGATAAGTTTTCAACTTACGCTTTGTGTTCATGTAAGTTTTATGATCCTTTAAACATTCCCTAATCTTGTGTTATTATAGCCATTGAAAAGATTTGACCTTGATGCTGCCATCATATTCTCAGACATTCTGGTGATTCCTCAAGCCTTAGGAGTTGGCATAGAAATTGAAGAAGGGAAGGTAGGATTTTGTTCATTGTTATAAAAAGAACATGTATGAAGATCAGAATTTGTATATAGGCACTAAAAACTCTCAATGCAAGAGTGTTTCAAGAAAAATCTAATTTAAGGAAAAGTATAGTAAGGGCGTTAAAATCCACCTCGTCGTCGATATTGAAAAAATTGAGTAAAAAATTATTAAATAATTAGAAATTAAATATTTTCTCTGTATGATCTATAATTATTTAGTTATTGTGCTAAAATTTATTTCATTTATAGCCTTTTCTTTCACTTTTTGCAATATAAGTATAAGAGGTTGCATTACTCTTTGGATATATAGATTAGTCAAAACTTTCACTGCCAATACATTAATTAAAAGATATATGTTTTTTTCAGGGTATGATATTTGATTTTCTACTTAACACCCCAGAAGATCTAAACAAACTTAACACGGTAGTAGATGTAACACAAGAGTTACATTATGTGATGGATGCCATCACTCTAACAAGACAGACACTCCAAGGAAAAGTTCCTTTAATTGGTTTTGCTGGTGCTCCTGTTAGTACTTTATTTAATTTTATAGAAGGTGTTTTGGTTGCTTTTTGGGGGATTGAAAGGGGGGATCAGCATTGTTATTTCAATGATTTACTGAGGCCACGAAATGTGACAAATTGAATATCTCAAGAAAGCAAGTTTTCATTTAAATATTTTAGGTGCAAACACTGAAACAGAATTAAATAAAGAACACTCTAGGCAAATGTTTATTTTTCTACAGAGTAAAAAAATGAACACCCATAAGTAATAGGACAATCAAGACATATAAATTGTTATGAATTAATGATAGTAGTCAGTGTTCTCAATCAGGCGAGTCCATTAGTCCTGGACTCATGAAAGCTGTTTGGAATCATCATTTTCAAAATTGGAGAGTCCAAAGATGTATCAAGATTATAAAATATTGTATCAACTGAGCTAACATATCATCATTTTATAGCAAAAGTTTAAAAATAATCCAAATCTGATGTCATTGCCTTGCTCTTTTTTGTCATGGAAACTGAAATAATAAATTACTTCTTCTCACTGTTGGATTCACCATGGCTAAAAATGTTGGACTCGCCTTTTAAATTCCTTAGTGAGAACCCTGAATTAGTATATCTATTGTTCTAAGGAAAAATTTTGGGAGAATATTCTGTAAAAGAAGCAAGTATGAAGGAACAAAATTTTTTTCCTTGGAGCTTTGTTATACGACTGCAAAAAAATTTTGTGGTCGTATATTGGTATGACGTTGGCGTCGTCGTCGTCCGAAGACACATTAGTTTTCACACTCTAACTTTAGTTTAAGTGAATGGATCTCAATGAAATTTTACCATAAGGTTCAATACCACAAAAGGAAGGTGGGGATTGATTTTGGGGGTTATGGTACCAACAGTTAAGGAATTAGGGGCCAAAAAGGGGCCAAAAATAAGCATTTTTGTAACTTCCAGACATAACTTGTGTGTAAGTGTATGGATCTCTCTGACATTGTACCACAAGGTTCCATATCACAAAGGGAATGCTGGGATTGATTTTGGGGGTAATTGCCTCCAAATTTTAGGAATTATGGGCCAAAAAGGGAAAAAAAAACAAGCATTTTTCTAGTTTCATGACAATAACTTGTGTTCAAGTGTATGGATCTCTCTGACATTGTACCACAAGGTTCCATATCACAAAGGGAATGCTGGGATTGATTTTGGGGGTAATTGCCTCCAAATTTTAGGAATTAGGGGCCAAAAAGGGGCCAAAAACAAGCATTTTTCTAGTTTCATGACAATAACTTGTGTGTAAGTGTATGGATCTTTATGAAATTGTACTACAAGGTTCCATATCACAAAGGGAAAGCTGGAATTGAGTTTGGGGGTAATTGCCCAAAAGTTTAGGAATAAGGGGCCAAAAAGGGGCCAAAAATAAGCTTTTTTCTAGTTTCCAGACAATAACTTGTGTTCAAGTGTATGGATCTCTCTGAAATTGTACTGCAAGGTACCATACCACAAAGGGAAGGCTGGGATTGATTTTGGGGGTAATTCCCTCAAAATTTTAGGAATTAGGGGCCAAAAAGAGGCCAAAAACAAGCATTTTTCTAGTTTCAGGACAATAACTTGTGTGTAAGTGTATGGATCTTTATGAAATTGTACTGCAAGGTTCCATATCACAAAGGGAAAGCTGGGTTTGAGATTGGGGGTAATTGCCCTAAACATTTAGTAATTTGGGGCCAAAAAGGGACCAAAAAACAAGCATTTTTCTAGTTTCCAGACAATAACTTGTGTTCAAGTGTATGGATCTCTCTGAAATTGTACTGCAAGGTACCATACCACAAAGGGAAAGCTGGGATTGAGTTTGGGGGTGATGAATCATAAGGGGGTTCAATAAATTTAGGGGGGGGGATTTTTTTTTCCCTTTTTTTTTCTTTAAAATTTTCCATTTTAAATTGGTTATTTCTGATTTATATATAAAAGCAAATAATAATGATATGGTTTGAATAGGTAAATTAAAAATTTTTAAGTTCTTAGACCACTTTCATTCTGTGTCAGAAACCTATGCTGTGTCAAATATTTAATTACAATCCAAATTCAATGCTGTATCAAGCTTGAATGTTGTGTCCATACTTGCCCTAACTGTTCAGGGTTCGACCTCTGCGGTCGTATCAAGCTGCGCCCCAGCGGAGCATTTTATTAATTTGTTATCTTCTATTTTACATTATGATTAAGTCATTATTGGTATTATTTATAATAGATAAAAGTCAAATTTTCTACTGATTTGTTATGAACAACCTTTAAACAAACAATTCAATAACTCACAAATACCAAAAATTATAGTTCACAGAAATAAGAGTCTTTCAACACCATACTGTCAATATGACATGCATTACAAGTGTGTAATTTTAGTCTTTGATTATGTTAAAATCTTCTTCCTAATCATTTGCTAGTGAAGCAAAACACAGGTATGTACTAAAAGATGAAAAAGACAAATAAAAATTAAATGGAATTTCGTATGTACTGGAGCAAATATTTTTACCATATTAAAAAGTATAATGTCATTTTGATAAAAAAACGAAGTTTTTAATAATGTTTTCCTAGTGGACAATAATGAAGTTCATGATAGAAGGAGGTTCATCATCTCCATTACCAAAAGCTAGGAGATGGCTTGTACAGTATCCTGATGCTAGTCGACAACTGTTACAACTCTTAACATCGAAAACTGTTGATTATCTAGTAGCTCAAGTCAAAGCTGGTGCTCAAGTAAGTTTTTGTATTTTGCTTGAATACTAAAAGTACTTATAATATTTTTTTGATGCATATAGTATGAAAAGTTTATGATTTAAAAAAAAATGAGGAAGAGAGAACAGCTATATTGAGGAGACATATAAATGTAAAACTTCAAACTGGCATTACAAAATATATATAAGTTAAGATTTATTACAAAGACAGTCATCCCATTTAAAAACCAATAGATCCATTCATACAGGGGAAACATTGTAGCCTATATGTAGTTAATTACAAAATTGTGACTTTTTTTTATAATTTTCTTATTAGTTATTACAAGTGTTTGATAGCTGTGCAGGAGAGTTAGGACCATATCAGTTTAATAAGTTTGCTCTACCATATCTCAGAGAAATTGCTTATTGTGTTAGAGAAAAGCTGAATGATCAACACATTGAACATGTTCCAATGGTAAGTCAATGAGAATTATCTCCCATGTAAAAGTAATATCTGTCCATTTTATAAAAAGAGTTAGCTCCCATTGATATGGATAAAAACTAATTTAAAAGGCTCATGTTATTATTCCTGTGACCATCTCATGTTTAATTCTGTGATACTGATTAAAATTATGTCTTGACTTTGATTAATTTTGATTCAGCTTCAATAACATCCATGCAGTCATTTTTATTTAGCCCAGAAAACAAAGAAAAAAATATTAAATTATGCAAAGCTGAGTTTGAATTTATGAAAAGAGGGTAGAAGTTTTCAACTTCTCCTACAGTTTTCAACCCAGATCCCTTAGACTTCACAGAAAGATTGTACACATGTTGAAGTTGTGCACCTGCTATTATGGAATTGTTTGAAATTTGTTTTCAAATTTATCAGGCATGGGAACTTTGTTATTTTCCAGCAAAATTTACAACCTTCATGCAATTGCAACTAAAATGTATATTGTAAACATTCTACATTGATTAGTGAGAAATATTGCAAACTGACCATTTGAAACTTGAACCCATTTTTATAATTCATTTTTGATATGTTTTTAATTATAGACTGTATTTGCAAAGGATGCACATTTTGCCCTTGAAGACTTGTCTAAATGTGGTTATGATGTTGTGAGTATAGACTGGACCATAAAGCCTGCACATGCAAGGTATGTTTATGTATTGTCCACTATAAAGAATATGATTTCTGTAAGTAAAACATATATTTCACAAACGTCCTTAACAAAAGAGGATTTTATTGATCACATTACAAGTTACAAATTTTTTTCATATCATAATTGTGTTACGTTTTTATAAGAAAATATAAAAAACAAGGTAAAGAGAAAGCAAAACTGCTATTCTAATTATTGATTGGTGTCATGTGGTAAGTTTTGAAAATTTCAATTTAAAAACTATTTCACGTCTCTTATAATTTTAAAATGATACAAAATATTTGATCATGTGTATTGATTTATTATAGCCTGTCTCGATCATTATCAGGTTGGATATCCAAATCAACTTGGTTTCATTATTTAGTTATTTAGCCACTTTTATACTTATACTGATTGAAAGTAATTAATATGATATCTTTGTATGTATGTATAGACGAATGATTGGTTCTAGAATAACAGTTCAAGGAAACTTGGATCCAAGTATGCTGTATGCTTCTACGGTAAATACAAATTGAAATCTTACAATTTCTATTTATAATAAATATATAAAGAGATGATCTTTGTTTATTAAAGCTTTAAAATTTTTGTTGGATCTGCAAATTGTCATAGTTGAATGTGCTACATTTTGTGAATCTGCAAATCCCTAAACAATCTCTGTGTGTTGTATCAGGTTCCTTTAACAAGGTACAATTGTAAATAGATTGAACTAAAGTAATATTTAGTAATTGCAATAATATTTGTGAATTTTATAGACAGTAGAATAATATATTGCACAATCTTGAAAGGGATAATATCACCTTTTATTATATGATAACAATTAAAAAATGACAAGCAAATCATATTAAGATTCTGATAACATTATTTAAATTGATATTGAATATTGCATACTAACTTTTGTTTATGTTTTATAGAGAATATAATAATTCTATACTATACTGGTAATAATATATTTCTATAGATAACTTTTTTGATTTACAGGATGATTTGAAGCATGAAGTGAAAACTATGGTAGAAAAGTTTGGTACACAGCGTTATATCGCTAACTTAGGACATGGTGTACATAAAGATGTCAACTTCGAAAATGTTAAAACTTTTGTTGATGCTGTTCACATGTATTCAGAGGAAATTAATGCTACTTTATAAAATACTTTTCTAAAAGACATAAGATTGTTTTTATTGGCTGCCTGCCCAATACTTATCATAAAAGCCAATGTTCACTAGGAACCACCCTGTGAAATGTCAACCATTTTAAAACTGTATTCATCCAGTAAAATGTTTTTTTCATTTTAGACTTTAAAGAAACCACTATTTAAAATTCTTCCTCATATTCTGAAATGGATGAAATTATTGTAAGGTAATACGTGAAACTTGTCAAATCAACATGTCAGGGCCACTCCTCTTACTTTTACATTGAAATACATAATGAAAACATACTAAAACTTTTTGAAGGAACTTATGGAAGGAATTTTTTAAAACTGGTTTCAAAACTTGAATAACTTGGAGACAAACTTAAATCAATTGTAATGCTTTACCATGTTGTTTTGAATCAAAATATAGCGATTTTGATATTTTTGAAAATGTTTCATGTGCTGCAGGAATAAAGACATCTGATTAAAACATATCTTACATGAGAAACTTGAGTGTCCTAAAACACTGTTGTTGTAAATATCAAAATATTTTTCCAAATTAAACAATAAATGACAATGGACTGGTGCATATAAGTACATTTATCAGTGTTCCCACTGTCTGTATCACTCTGCTCAGCTCTTCATAAAATTGCATATAACAGCTTTGTGAAGTCAAATATATTAACCTGGCCTAAATAACTTTGACGCCGACATATCACTGACGTCATAATGAATGAACCGACGTAGATAAGTTTGACCTGAACTTATCAAGTCATCTTCCAGTTTGCTGGTGAAACAAAGAAAAAACACTTGTTTCTATCATGCAAAATACACAAATACAATCCAATAAATCGATTATCAGATTTTCATCATATTCATATTGTAAAACATCAGCTGTTAGACTTTTTGAGCTGCGCTCACTCAACAAAAAGCTTCAGATTGTGACTCGCAGCTGATATTTTACAATATCAATATGCTGACAACCTGATAATCGTAAATATACTAAGAATTTCAGTCTGCAGACAACCTGATAATCGTTACAAATACTAAGAATTTCAGTCTGCAGTTTGATAAAGAGGATGCAGCATTACAAAAGTATGATAAATATAAAAATAAGGAGATGCCAATGAGACAACTATCCACCAAAGTTCAAATAAAGTGGATGTAAGCAATTAAAGGCAACCATACAGCCTTCAATTATGAGAAAAAAAAACATACGGTATAGTCACTTATAAAAGGCCCGACCCTAAAATGTGAAACAATTCAATTGAGAAAACTAATGGCCTAATTTATTACAAAACAATTTACTAAAAACAAATAAAACAGAAGAGAGCCAACGACAGCCACTGAATTAAGGGCTCCTGACTTGGGACAGGTACATAAAGAATGTGGCAGGGTTAAACATGTTTGTAAACACTCAACCCTCCCCTAACTGGGACAGTGGTGCTACGGCATAACATAAGAACAAACTGTAAAAATCACAGTTGCAATTGGCTTAACTCAATAGATCAGTATGATGCACTAAAATTATAAACATAAAGCCCCGAAATTAAGAGTACTTGCAGTTATGGAAAGCTAGTTCAAAGCCAATTACAACTAATGAATACCGGTAAATCATGTTCTCCCAGACCTAAGTATCAATCATTACCTGTGCAATGGATTTAGTGTTAAAGACATCATAAACTGTCTGACAAACGCATGACCTTGTGCAATGCCAAAATATAACAGCAGGATAAGGTCTACAAATACCTCATTGATAACCTTCAAGAATAAGTTTATTCAAAAGATCAATTAGTTTACATGGATAGTATCTATATTAACGGGCCTTATAAACAACATTGCTGTTTTGGTGTACTCAATGCTCCAGGTCCTTTCCCTAAACTAGGACTTGTGTAACAAAAGTAGGATTAAACATGTTTGTGAGTACTCAATCCTACAGCTCCTTTCCCCTAATCTGGGACTGATGTAACAGAAGTATGATTAAACATGTTTATGAGTACTCAATCCTCTGGTTCCTTTCCCCTAAACTGGGACTGCCGTTACAAAAGATAAAATGCAACAAACTGTAAAAATGAAACGAAATGGATTTTACTCATCAAATTTATACCTTTGACATAAACTATCAACCTATGAGTGGCCCCTTTCAGCGTTACTATTATCCTTGTGCCCTATGAGCACTCTGTTATTTGAAGTTCATGATACACACTGATCACATTTACCTACACTTAGATATCTAATAGTTCACTTAAAAATTTAAATGCACTTTTTGTGGTCTATACAAAATGTGCTTCCATCTATGCTTTTACATGCTAACAAGACTACAGAAAAATATCTTTTATACTTTTCAAGAAAATAAGCAAAAATGCAAAACATTTTTCCAAAAAAAATATTATAATTGCAGATTTTGTAAACAAGTACAGACAGTAAAGTCAAGGATTAAGGTCACTAAAATGTTTGTAAAACTTTCATTAAGGGACAGTCGCTTTTTATATGCCCGTTTACAGGACGTATTATGGTATACCGTTGTCCGTCTGTCCATCTGTCCGTCCGTCCGTCCGTCGTCAACATGTCGGACATTAACTCAAAAATGCTTTAACCAATTTGCATAAAACTTTGGTGAATTGTTTATATCTATTCACGTGAGCTCCCTTTCATATTTTATAAATTTTAGATTTTACTTTTCCGAGTTATGGGGTTTTATTCATAAAAAAAAGGGGATTTTCCAGTTTTCAGACAATAACTCAAAAATGCTTTCAGCAGTTCTCATGAAACTTTGATGAATTGTTGATATCTATTGATGTAAGCTCCCTTTAGAATTTTATAAATTTTAGATTTTACATTTCTGAGTTATGGGGTTTTATTCATTAAAAAAGGGGGGACTTTCCAGTTTTCAGACAATAACTCAAAAATGCTTTCAGCAATTCTTATGAAACTTTGGTGAATTGATTATATCTATTGATGTAAGCTTCCTTTAGAATTTTATAAATTTTATTTGTTTATAGTCTGACAACAGATTTACTAAGTATTGCGCAACAGCATAGTGTATTGCACATCAGCAAGAAATCTTTAATTGAATATAAATTCAATTCATATAACCAATTTCAAGTTCTTTGACTACATTTATTCAGAAACCTATAATATGTCAAATATTTGATTACAATCCAAATTCAGACCTGTACCAAGCTTGAATATTGTTTCCATTTTTGCCCCAACTGTTCAGGGTTGGACCTCTGCGGGCGTATCCAGCTGCGCTCAGCGAAGCAGTTTATTAGCCATAAATATGCTCTTGAACCAGGGGCAGATTCAGGCGGGGGTGTGTCAGGTGTGCACCCCCCCCCTAAAATTTACAAAGCATGGATTGTCCTCAGCTTAATAAAGAATATTTCAATTTTTCCTCAAAATTTAAGTTTGCGCACCCCAACGCAACCCAAAATCCTGGATCCGCCCCTGTGAACAATCTTTTGTTGATAATATGCCTTTGGGTAAAAAGATCCATATTGAATTGAAGAAATTTGATAAAACATCAAGGTTACAGCAGCAATTAAATTAAACTGAAATTTGAGCAAAATTTTGGTTTTCAATCATTTGACGTAAATTGTCACTGGGGTTTATATTTACAGTCTTCATAACAAAATATATAGATAAATAGTACTTTTCACAAAAATGTATTGCTTCTTCTCCGAATATATTAAGATGGCACCTTGGCTATTGCATCAATGGTGCTTCTGTAATATTTTAACTGATTCTACATTGTTTTTAGCCAAGCTGAGACAAAGTATAACTTGTCTTACAATATGACGAATACTGTCTGGTCATCCAAACTTCCAACATTTCGGTATCCTATCAAAATGTTTTGAACCATGAACAATATCTGTACCATTTTTTTTCTTTCGAAAATGTCCTATTGGATAGAAAAGAACTATGTAATTTGGGGGTCAATAGGTCAAATATCAAAGCCACAGCAGCTATTGCTAGACAAAATTTTGCTTTAAAGTTTTACTTTTACCAAACATGAATTGATAATGCACCATGGGATAAATAGTACCCCTATTGATTTTGAGGTAACAGGGTGGAAGTCAAGGTCAAAACAACAACTAATAAACTGAATTTTCTACTTTTGTTTTTGGATTTTCTTTCGAACCAAATTTTTTACTTAACTTGGTTTGATATTGCCCATGTGACAAAGAGGTCACCATGTCAAATGATCTAGGTTCAGCAGCAATTTATAGACTAGAATTTAGAGAGAGAGCTGGGGGACCACTTGATTTTGATGTCGCTTGACCAGAAGTCAATTATTAGACTGATATCTATTCAACATTTTGGCTTCTGGTTGTTATCTTTCAAAATTAATGTATATTTTTTACCGAACTTAGTTTGTTAATGCTTGAAGGTATGTAGAGGATCTGAAATTGAGGTCAGTAGCTCAATGTTCAAGGTCATAGCAGCAATTAATACAGTAAGTTGAAAATTACTCATTATAGTTAGTTCTGTTTTGCTCAATTGCTGAAAATTGTTATTCTGAGTGATAAAGCTAAGAAATGCATTGCACATCAAACTCATTCAGGAATCAAAGAATCTAAGATTTGGTCGAAGAGATAACAACAAAATGTCTGGTTCAGAGTAGTTAACTTAACTCATGATTGAATATCCTTTTTTGTCTTTTTATCTTGAGCATAAAATCACAGCCTAAACCAACAAAATACAACACAATTCTATCCGTTCTTGTTCACTTAATGATGAATTGCCTTATAACAAAATGAACGTAAGGATTGAAGCAAAGTATGCATGCAATTTATATTTGTTCAGTTGAAACAATGTACACGCACTTGCATTTCAGTATTTGTCATTAGGAAAATTTATCATAAATAAGTTGTATTTACGGTCAACTTTGAAACAAAGTCACATAGATCAAAACGTTTATAACAAAATTTTCCATTAGTAGTTATACCAGAGACATATATATGTATATATGTCTGTGGTTATACTGACCCGCTCTAAAAGATGGGAGTATACTAGTTTACCTCTATCTGTTGTTCCGCCCATGTCTCAAATCTGTTAAATTTTTCACAACTATAAGTCATGTCTTCTTTAAATATAATACAACATTTCATCTGGTTATGTCATTCTGTGTGTGTGAGACGTTTTCAGTTCTACTTCATATAAAAAAAAATAAGAAGATGTGGTATTATTGCCAATGAGACAACTATCCACATGAGACCAAATGACACAGAAATTAACAACTATAGGTCACCGTACGGCCTTCAACAATGAGCAAAGCCCATACCGCATAGTCAGCTATAAAAGCCCCCGAAATGACAAATGTAAAACAATTCAAAACAGAAAAATAACGGCCTAATTCATGTACAAAATAATGAACGAAAAACAAATATGTTACACAGTAACAAACGACAACCACTGAATTACAGGCTCCTGACTTTGGACAGGCACATACAGAATGTGGACTGGTTAAACTTGTTTGAAGGCGCCAACCCTCCCCCTAACCTGGGACAGTGGTGTAACAGTACAACATAAGAACAAGCTATAAAAATCAGTCGAAAAAGGCTTAACTCATCAGATGGATACAAATAGAAATACATCTAACAAAAAACACAGAGTGAACGTGGCAGGGTACTTGTACATCCCTACAACAAAAAGACACTAAGTACAGATCTGAGAGTACTCGCAGTTACTGACAGCTAGGTCAAAGCCAATAACAACTTATAACAAAAACCATGCATCTAAGACTAAATTCATGTTGGCTTTATAAACAGCACTAACAGAAATTAAGAATGTGCTATCATGTTTTTAATTTAAATACCTAATACTCAAATAAAATGATTGTATATACATCAGTGTGTGGTGGAATAAAGCATTCACTTCAATCTTAGGAGTCGTGATTTATGTATTGTTCTGTCTTTGGTTAATCATTGCAGCCCTCAAATAAACAATTTCATATACATTTGTACATGTACATTCGTACAAAAAGTCATGGGATTTGCAAATAAGCTAAACGCTTAAATGATTTAAACTCAAATTTCTCAAGTCCTTAGACCAATATTACTCGTGTGTAAAACTGTGTTATAGTACTCTCAGAGTATTGTTTATTGTACAGTTGCGGATCCAGAGGGGGGGGGGGGGGGTCCGGGGGTCGGAACCCCCCTTTTTTCTTGACGATCAATGCATTTGAATGGGGACATATAGTTGGAACCCCCCCCCCCCCCTTATTAAAAATGACTGGATCCGCCCCTGTTGTATATATCATCTTCGCTAGCCATACGCATGGAGAGGGGACTGGATCGTAACTCTTAGCTAGCGAAGATGTGCACATATGTGCCGACTCTAAATAAAATTTACTTACTTACTAGTCCTAACTCGTCCCATTGCACCCGGAGATATGTCAAATGATTTAAGCTTTAAGGTTGCGTCTTTGTTTTATTATACTGAACGGCAAATCTTATAACGTGCATGCTGTTATCGCACCCTTAACGCATGGCAATAAATTAAGTTCATAAGTATCTACTGTAAAGTGTCCTGTTATACCTACGCTGATTGTCTCATTTTAAAGATAAATAATGATGATAAAAATAAACCTTAGGCACAGACCATTTATCTTTTGTAAGTCGGGGGCATGGATTTTTGTCTCGCCTGCGACGAAATTTCGTCGCAGTATGCGAGACATAGGTATTACTATCCGGCGGCGGTGGCGTAAACTATTTGTATAAAGCTTTATAATTCAGAAGGTAGAAGACTTGGATGCTTCATATCTTGTATGCAGATACCTTATATTACGAAGTTTCCGTCAATCATTGTTGACCTCATTTTCATGGTTCAGCGACTGCTTGAAAACAAAATTTGAGTTTTTTTGTCATGTGAATTTCTCACTTAATATGAGTAATAGGATAATTATATTTGGTATATGGGTTCCTTGCAACGTCTTCATGTCCGTCAGAGAAAATTCACCTAACCTCTACCTCATTTAATGGATCAGTGATCAAGGTTAAAGTTACGTGATTAGGTCCGTTTCTCAAATACCATATGCAGTAGGTCAACTATATTTGGTGTATGTTATTATTGTAATGGTTACATGTGAGTCTGGCAGGTATCATCTGATCTTGACCTCATTTTCATGGTTCATTTGTCAATGTTAAGTTTTTGTGTTTTGGTCTGTTTTTCTGGTACCATAAGCAAAAGGCCTACTATATTTGGTGTATGGAAAGATTGTAAGGTGTACATGTCTGTCTGGCAGGTATCATCGGACCTTGACCTAATTTTTATGGTTCATTGGTCAATGTTAAGTTTTTGTGTTTTTGTCTGTTTTTCAAGTACTATATAAGCAATAGGTCAACTATATTTGGTGTATGGAATGATTGTAAGGTGTACATGTCTGTCTGGAAGGTATCATCTGACCTTTACCTGATTTTTATGATTCAATGGTCAATGTTATTTTTTTATGTTTTGGTCTGTTTTTCAAATACTAATAGCAATAGGTCAGCTATATTTGGTGTATGGAAGAATTGTAAGGTGCACATGTCTGGATGGCAGGTATCATCTGACCTTGACCTCATATTTATGGTTTCATTTCAATGTTAAGTTTTTGTGTTTTTGTCTGTTTTTCAATTAGCATACGCAATAGGTCAAAGGCTATATTTGGTGTATAAAAAAATTGTAAGGTGTATATGTCTATCTGACCTTGACCTCATTGTAATAGATTTTTAAACATGTTAAGTTTCTGTAATGCTTTAGTAAAACCTTTATCTTTAAGACTTTCAATATAAAATCAATGGTCAGTAAAACAGGTGAGACATTTCAGCGTGTGCACTCTTGTTTTAAATTGTTTATTTCGAATTAAAAAAAATACTGTAGAAGGAAATTAGTAAAATCAATTATTTAAAAAAAATCTTATTTCTGTTTGATTTTGGGAAAAAGAAAAAACGTTTTTTTTTTAATTATAGTTGAAAAATATTTTTCTCTAGAAAAAAACCTTGCCCGTGTCTAAATTGAAGTCAACACATATCAAACAATCAAAATCAGACCAGGCCTAATCAAAGATGCTGTCATATGTAGTTCAGACTTGGTCTGAAACCGAGTGAGTCGTGCACAGTGGAGACTTGGTCAAAACTGTTCAGAGCTTAGTTCAAGTATGGTTCAGAAAAAAACGGAGTCGAATATACTTCAGATTTATTGTTAATTCATTTACAATGTGTGAATGCATGCGAGTCCGTGTGTCGATATATTTAATAGATATGGATGGAGAGTTGTCTCATTGGCAATCATACCACATCTTCTTATATCTATCTCAGTTTTCCTTTATGTATATATTAGACATTTATAAGATGAATAGCAGTGGCGGGCCGGCGGATCCAAGGGGCGTAGAGGGTATACGCCCCCACCCTTTTCATCGCCCCCAAAAAATTAAAATATCATGTTTTTCCCAATATATATATATAATTTTGTAGTATAAAATCGTCCAAAAATTTTTCAATATAAAATAATAAAAGGCATATTTTCAATTTTTGAGAATTACGCCGCCACTATTCGAAAATCCTAGATCTGCCCCTGAATAATTATATACTGTTATACGCAGGAGTTTCAAAATGCAATCCTGGCATCTTTCCTTTTTTTAATAACTACCTGTATATATATTCACACAGTCAAGTGTACTTTTACGTCTTATAAAAACTTACATACCACATTATCGTGCATAGGTAAGATGTCGAATAGTTTACATTTTTTAATGCATTTTAAATGTACAGAAATAAGAGATTATTAGGTATTTAGTGAGTTTATGAATTTTTCCCAGTTAACACCTGTGGAGTATTGGTCATTATTAACCACAAATAACATTAAATATCGTCTTGGTCTATAGTATTGACACAGGTCAAGTGATTCTTAACACTTTGGTAGTTTATTAATGGTAATATGTTGACACTACAACTTAAATTGTCATTGTTAATAGATCCTATTACTTTTACTGATCAGTATGTATGTTGCCCCAGGAATATCACCTGTTATGCCACAAGATATTTATCAGTATTATAAAACGTTGACATCTTCGAGATAAACTATGATCATGTCCAATCGGGATCCAGATCAAAAACCGTTACACAAGATGTTATAATGACGGACAGCGCCTAATTCTGATTAACATGATGAAGACACAGTAATATAAATAAATAGGGCATGAAGCTCCTTTACCCAGACATTTTATTATTTTATTTAACAAAAATAAGCAGAGCATTGAATTTATAATAATAAGCGACTATTCTTTATTATCACAGTTACAAGGCTGTTTCCAAAGCCAAAGTTACTTTAATTTCTGGTCTACTCGACTCGTTTCGCTTTTTATGACGAAAAACATCATCCATGTCCCTATCATTTATGTGAAATTTATTTGTTAATTCCTGTCTAGTAAGTTCATCCTCGTCATGAAAAATGCCATCATCAGATTCAGTGCTTTGTGTTTGTATTTTACTCTCAAGTTTGGACTCTCTTTTAAAGTTATCTTTTGTATTAGGCTTATTGTCTATGAGAGACCTCCTTCTTTCTGGTAACTTCGGCACTGTTTCAGACACACTCTCGTTTCTAGTCAATATCACAGGTAAACTTTGACGTCTTATTTGCATTCCTTCGTTTCCTTTGACTGCAAGAGGAAAGCTCTTCGTTGTATTCAATGTTTCCGTAGATCCAAAATAATCTGACGTAAAACTGAGATTACGCGCATGTCCGATAGAATTTGTTTCTGTTCTATACTTTGTATTTCCTTCAGTGTTTACTTTGGTACTAATGTTAGCACTGCCTGATTTCGTTTGCTTTTTATTTGCTGTCCGATCACCTTCCCATTCTGTAAGAATAGTTTTCAAATCTTTTTCAGCACTAGGTGAAGACTCCATCTTATCTTTCATTTTTATATCAGAGGAACTGCCATACTGTCTTGTAACAGCATGTACAGGAGAAGGAAAGTTGTACTGAAGTTTAAAATCTGATATTAATTTAGAAACAGAATCTCCCCTTTCAAACTGTTTTGTAATAACAGCTTCACATTGGAAGCTAGCCCTACGAAGTTTTGGACGGATTGATCTGTCAACTGGTGGTGGCATACTATTAGTTAAAGTGTCCACCTGAATACTGGCCCTTCGTCTCTGCTGAATTATTGGAGGCTGAATTGTCGGAAAATTTGCTAACATTTGTTCACGTGTACGAGTTTCTATTTGGTCATCTATTTCTCTTGATGGATGAGTAAGCGACTCCGTGCTTCCACTTACATTACTTTCACTACTACACATGCTATTGTCCTTTAGTGAATCATCACTACAAATACTGAACCGAACTTTGCAACGCTGGCTTTCATCCTTCGTGTTTCTAACATGAAATTCACTGTTAACCTGTGGCTCTTCTTTGATAATAGCTAAACTTGAAGACGATAGTCTGATTGGACTACTTCTTATCTGATTCTACAAAAATAAGAATAAGCTGTTACTCGTTTTATTATCATTATAATCATTTTTGCTGTTTTAAAACCTGAACAGTGTGAAATCTGAACATTCAGTCACTGAGTGACTTGAGATATCAATATACATATGGTGGATATTTCTGAAGCCTCATTTTCGATGCGTTGCCGGAATGCCTTGGTTATGCTAACATTGTGTATACAAATGTCGAAGAACGCATATATATAGATTTTAAATAACAATCTGTTAAAAGATGAAAGTTAGACCTTGAAACTGGGGTCAACTCCTGTGTAAATTATTATTCGATATACATTTCCTAACGGATCAAAGATAAATTAAGAACCTGAACGTAAACAAAGTCATGAAAATATTTAAAAACTGATTTTATCATAAATATTAAAAGTTCATATCAATTGTGCTTTTACACAGGTCATAATATTTTGACCTATATATGTTTTGGAACAGACACAAATTAAAGATCTGAGGATTTCATTTCGAAAAAAAAAACTACGTTTAACATAATAATTCACAAAAAAAAAACACTGAACATGTTTATACTAATATTAAAAAGCACATGTTTTAATAATAGAGAGTACATGTTTTAATAATAGAAAGCACATGTTTTAATAATAGAAAGCACATGTATTAATAATAGGAAGCACATGTTTTAATGAGCACATATCTTCGAAATTGTTTTTCATTACCAAGACCAACGGACAGCATAATTCATAGAATTATTTAGTCTGTATGATCTAATTCTAAAAAGTCTTCTATAAATCAACATATTGACAAGTCTGGAGTGATTGAAATCTCGTTACAATAAATACTGTAAATGTCCGGAATTCTAATGACCGTCTGAGAGGCCATTATCCTATATAAAGGTTCGCTCTTAGATAATTTAAATGTATTACATGTTATTTGTATGTGATTTATTTATCAATAGGATTTGTTATTGTACGAGGTAAGAGATTGATATTACACTATAATACCAATAGTAAGCAAATAAACAACAACTTTACGGTGTAATTTTCAGTGAATTATTGAACAAATTTGCAAAGAATTCCATTTTTAATTGAATTGAATGATACATTACAACATTTATGAGTGTCACTGGACGTTCAGCAACCAAAAATCAATCAATTATTTAATGAAAAGCCTCACGTTCACAGTGAAGACAAACCATGTTCCTTCATTCCGTATGGTTACACTGTGAGCAACTGCATATGTAGTTACAACGTATGGTTACACTGTAAGCAACAGTACATGTAGTTACGACGTATGGTTACACTGTAATCAACAGTACATGTAGTTACGACGTATGGTTACACTGAAGCAACAGCACACGTAGTTACAAGTCTTGTCCTTTGATACGGTATAATATTGTTTATTATTGTTAAGTTTGTACTTGTGCTATTTTATTTTTTTATTGTACCATTATTTAGAGTTTAGATCTTTTCCTGTATCAAATGTAAAAATTGTATTTTATTAAAAGCATATATAATTAGTATACAGAAAATCTTGCTTAGGGAACAAACTAAGCGTGGTTTCTTTGCTTTTTTCAAGTGCGTTTAGAGATTTTGTGTCATGAATTAATACACCATACCCTTTCTTTTTCCATTAAGGAGGACCTGCTAAGAAGGAAGAAAACCTACTTACAAAATGTTTTTAAAAAGTTGAGAAAGAAGACAGGGATAGGGGACTTCAGTGATTCTTGAAAATTGTAAAAACAGAGACAAACGATAGACATATTGACTGATTTAATCACTTGAATACACTTGGAAAAAAGAAATTGGTATATTACAATTATATAGAAGTTTGATGGTTACAAATTGTCAACGGACTGAGCTAAATGTATATTACTCATCAACGGACAGTTATTTTGTAATTTTTGCAGTCAGTTAATTACAACCCCTTAATTTTTATTGTTAATATTTCTAAAATAATGTAATAAAGATTTTAAGGAATCCTTTATTGCATCAGTTTCAGCATTATTCAAAGATTTTACCATTTTGCTAGATACTCAATACTATTTGTAAAAACAATATGAATACGAGAAATAAAATAAAAACGTATACAATTTGTGTCAATTTTTTACAAATTACTCTCAACAGACTCAGTTGCCTACTCGATCACAGGGCTTTTCTGCTATCTATGTAACTTTATACAAACGTAAACCAACGGGCTGAATCCTCGATAATCCGAATAACGCCCTTGACATACTAGTAATTGAAAGTGAAGCTTTATTTCAAAGCCAACGAAAAGTAAATTCTTGGTAGATTCCGATGATTTAAATATGAAATATTTGAATTTTAAACATGTGTATTTATAGAGCAGGCATTAGATTAAGACTCTTATCTATAAAGAAGATGAAAAGATATTTATATTAATTCAAAATTGGGGATTTATTTGACCTAAAATGTAAACCGATAGAAATGCGATTATATATGTATCATAACTCTGGACTTGCTGATGTGAGAGAGTGTTTTTCCTAGGGCTGTCATGTTTTTCTTTGGTCACACTTTAATTGCATTTAAAGGGAGAAATCTTAACTGCTTCATTACCCCTGTCTAATTCTCCGTTAACTAATTATCGAGCGTTCCGTGTTTAAAATATTCCATATATGTATATCGCTATTATTACAGACCGTGAAAATGTCTGATCATTGTAGATGATTAGTGGAAGGTCGTAACTGTGGACAACACGTGCGCTTAAAAAGGTCATTAAACAAAAATGTAAATTGCTTAACATACTATTTAGTAATTACAAGAAACATTAAGATGCAATTTCCTAAATTATGAAAAAGTCTCAATGTAATTATAATTTCTGAGCGTTATTCAATTAAACAAACCATTTAAAGTAAAGAAAACCTTTTTTTTACGTTATAATTATTTATATTAAAACAGCTTTGTCCCCTGGGCAAGTGAATCGCAATGAAGATAATAAGAATCTTGTGGTCTTCGTCAGCCTAACAAATAAATTGATTTTAAATTACATGCATGCTTTTAATGCCGCTTTTATTTATTTTAAAGTATATGTTTTTCATCCGAACCACTGTATACCAAATGGTCTTATTATGATTATGTTATATCACGTTATCCGGTGGATATAAAGGCTTCGTTATAAAATTACTGTTTTCATATAAAACCGTTTCCACCATAAGGAATTTATTTCATTTCCCCCATTGAACCGTTTCTATATATAACAAGACCAATACCGTGTCTGGATCGCATCGTGCGTGTTGTTTTGAAGAACAATTTTCAGTCCAATAAAATTTGGAAAAATTTCACGTTAGATTAATTGATTGGTGTTTGCTTTATGTCACGTCCAGTGGTAAATGTTTCACGCGTATTCAGGACGAGTTCAAACTAACAATAAACACAATAGGTATGTCCTGCAAAAGGGGATTGACCGGTATACTAGTAATAACCTGGAAATTTTGAATACCACGGGATAATAAGGGTATACATGTATTAGATAATGCCAGAAATTTAGCCTTACAACAGGCCATCTACGGACCCCTCAAAGAGTAGTTGCAATGTTTTTAACGTGCAGAGAGCGTGTCACTCGACCTACAAGAGGTATCGGATTTAACATCTGCATTCTGAACGGACGTGGCTGCGAATTTGTACACCCCGCACAGCCAAAACGGACGTCCCACTTTGCAAGGGTTTTATTGTCAGTCGGAAGAAGTGATGATATTTCTAAAGTCAACCTTTGGAGTCTTTCAAGTAAGTACTTGGGCAATATGGAAGTTCCCGTAGTAGAGATGAAATTTATAAGCCAAAAAAAGAATAGTTTTATCTTTATAGCAGTGAAGATAGATGTTTCTAACCATAACAAGATATGATTGATGTGTGGATTTTTTCGCGAATTAAATTACATTTAGGTGATCTGCAATATATATACAGATGATAATGGAAAACTGTTTGAAGCTACACATGATACAAATTAGGTACACTCCCTCTCTCTCTCTCTCTCTCTCTATATATATATCTATATATATATATATGATATATATAGCACATAAATGACTCGGTTTGGAAACCCGATAAAAAATTATTCAAATCTGTCCAACATAGAAGCTGGACATTCTAAATCTCTGTACAATCACGGTGTCAAGTTTGACCAATGATAGAGTTGTCAGACCACCAATTTCACCCACTCCAATTTAGAACATATGTAAGCGTAGCCCTTCCCTGACAAAAACAGTGCTTTTGATGTCATTGTTTTTTTTAACTATACCAATAAATTTGCAGAAATGAAACTTTTGGTGAAAGAGATAAATATTTAGACGATTTTGAGTCAAAATTTACTTGTCCATTAGTTTGCACTAAAAATTGAGGATTAACGCGCTCCATAGTATACTGAGTTCAGATTTCAAGAAAACCAGGGTTTATTTTTAGTAGTAGTTGCCTTCCGACGTGTTTTACTACAAGACTTTAAACATTGGTTGAAAATTGGCATGTGCTCGGAAAGGTGATATTTTTACAATTCAGGATATACCTGGTTTCTATGAAGTTAAAAAAAATCAGCTTCTATGGGAGATTCGTGTGCATTTGCTTACGTATTCATTTTATCTTAGCAAACTTTGCATATTTTAAATATTGAATTTCTGGTTGATTTCACTTCAAAATTAACGTGGTTGCAATCTTGGGGAAAAGGAAAATATAATAGACTCCTTTCAGAATGAAACGATAATTGAACTTGTCCAACTTCAAAGATTTATGTCAATGATGCAACTCCGCATGAGAAAGAACGCGACGAAGGGCTATTGTAACATTTATCTTTTACGTAGCGATAACACATTCTAAAATTTTTAATGATACTAACACGGGAGTAAATCGGAAATTGTTATCGTGGTAAATGACCATGTCCGATAGAAACTGTAATATAGCGAGTTATCAGTACGTATAGGTAAAAGTACTTTCTGATTTTACATATTGCGATTAAAAAATAAATACTTCAAACGGCAACGTATTTGTTAAACAAGACATGTGATCAAA